GGAGACAAAACTCCCGCCGATCTTGTTTTGTTTTCTTCCACGGATATGAAAGTCGACAACAGTAGTTTGACCGGTGAATCGGAGCCACAGGAAAGGCGCGCTCTTCCTGACGGATCAAAGAAACGTCCCGTGGAGGCAGATAACTTGGTATGTATGCAACAGCATTCTATATGTAAAGCGGCTGATGTATGATTTAGGTGTTCAACTCTACATTGATCGTAAATGGAGAAGGATGGGGCGGTAAGTGGGATGCAAAAATCCGTTTGTTTCTGGCCTAATTTGGCTATTCAAGTCGTTGTACGAACTGGAGACCACACGTTTATTGGTAGGTCATTATCCATGGATTTTCAAGATCCAGCTCACCGTTCTTAATCACAGGCCAAATCGCTAGTCTTACCGGAGGAGAGGATGGCAATGAAAGTCCCCTCGCGGTCGAAATGTGCGCATATTTGTAGAGACATCTATATTAATTGTTCCCTCACCAACCTTTTCAGCTCGCGATTCGTCATCGTTGTATCCTGTATCGCCATCATATTCGCGCTGGTTTTCTTTGCCGTTGGAATCACATCCGTTTACAAGGGCAAGGCGGCCGCCACCGTCACATTCGCTGTCTCCATCTTGGTCGCCTTCGTGCCCGAAGGCCTTCCCTCTGTTGTTACTCTTCTGCTTTCCATTGCAGCAAAACGGATGGCCAAGCAGAACGTGCTCGTCAAAGATCTGCAGGGCGTGGAGACTCTTGGTATAATTTTTACGCACCTTCAGAAGCATTTGTCTTACGTCCATTCATTTTTACAGGATCGGTAAATATATGTTATCATCACGCCGAGTTCAAGTCCTTACTCTCATCTGTCTCTAGTTAACACTTCTGGCCACTGATAAAACAGGAACGCTTACTCGCAATCAGATGACAGTACGCCGTTTGAATTTTCGAGCAATGATAACTGTACTCAATCGTTTCTTCAAGGTAACCAATCTCTGGAGCGGAGAGAAAATGTCGTCTGCGTTCCAATCGAACAACGACGACGAGACGACAGCAGCGTTCTCTATCAATGCTTCGGGAATGAAGGAAATGGTCGACATAGCTGCGTTGAATTCCAGGGTCAAATTTGACAGAACCGACATACCGTTCGATCAGAGGACAATTCTCGGGGACGCCACCGAAACCGGGCTCACTCGATTTGCTGGTCGTTATTTGGCAACTGATTATGACACGCACCTCAAAAGCTTCCCGAAAGTGTTCGAAGGCGAGTTGATTGTAGTTTCCCTTTCTATGTCACTAACACGTATCCTATATCCATTCAGTCCCATTCAATTCTACAAATAAATGGGCTCTCGTTATCGTAAGTGCTCTGGGACTTTGTTCCTTATAGATTCTGATACCGTTATCTAGTTGGACAAACCGCATCAATCCGGTGTTCTGACTGCATACATCAAAGGCGCTCCTGAACGAATCCTTGCCAAATGTACGACCTACCTGAAGGACGGAAAAATGGTTCCGGTGAATGACAAATTTAAAGAAGATTACGACGAGGCGTATGATGTGCGTATACGTCTCAGCCAACTTTTTCTTATCTCATATTTTCTGGATAGTATATGGCATCCAGAGGACACAGGGTCATTGCTTGTGCGCAGTATCTACTCCCCGGCGACGAATACCCTTCTACCTACCCATTCTCACGCACGGACGATCACTTCCCAATCGCTGATTATTGCTTCGTTGGCCTGGTTTCTCTTGAGGACCCCCCAAAGCATGGTGTCCGAGAAGCTATCGGTACCCTTCGCCTGGCAGGAATCAAAGTGATGATGGTAACAGGCAAGTACATTCGTACATGATTGTCTGAAAACCACATTGACGATTTTGATTATCAAGGTGATCACCCCAAAACGGCCGAAGCCATCGCTCGCAAAATCAACCTTATCCTTGGAGATACTCGTGAAACACTTGCGAAGAAAACTAACAGAGCTATCGAAGATATATACGAGGACGAAGTCACTGCAGTGGTTGTTCACGGAGATGATATAGATGGTCTACAAGGATGGCAATGGGACCAAAGTGAGTTGCTCGTGACACCCGAATGACTCTCAGCACTTATTCCACGCGCTAGTTTTCAGCAAAGACGAAATCGTGTTCGCTAGGACGTCTCCTAAACACAAGCTCGAAATCGGTAAGTCCACGCCGACATCAACTTGGAACTCAAGTTTATAAGATTTTTTAGTGAAACGCGCGCAGGCACTTGGCCATATCGTTGGAGTGTATGACGTCTTGCGCTCCAAAACCTACTACACATACTGACGTTCGACTAGTACTGGCGACGGTGTAAATGACTCTCCGGCTCTGAAAAAGGTCAGTACCCATGTTATGAGTCGCTGAAGCTTTGCCTCATCTTTTCTCAGGCTGATCTCGGAATCGCCATGAATATCTCAGGCTCAGATGTCTCTAAAGAGGCAGCTGATATGATTCTTCTCGGTGAGCCGATAATAATGCCAGCGAATCGACGGTCCCCTAATGCTAAGTGCCAGATGACAACTTTGCCTCCACCGTTAGTGAGTACACATGCCAATACTGGATAGAACGACATTCTGACCAAATCTTACAGAGGGTGTCGCTGAGGGTCGTCAGATCTTCGTCAACTTGAAGCGCTCTATCCAGTAAGCACTGTAAACAGTTAGGTAGCCGAATCGGCATTCACGCTCTTTCGACCATTAGATACACTCTCACGCACAGTACTCCGGAGGTCGTCCCGCAACTCCTTTGTGAGTCTCTCAGAACGGAACACGGTTGTATGAAGTGTATTAATGATCACCGCAGATGTCGTTGTGCCTCTCCCATTACCACTGTCTGCCATTCTAATCTTGGTCATTGGTAAGGGGATTTCTCTGCGTATTTACCCCGTTAATGATATATTTCATTAGATCTTGGATTTGAGTTGTGTGTCGCTGTAAGCACTCCACCGGATGAAGACATACCCTCGATTAACCATCCCTTCTGCATAGTTATCGTTTGCCTGGGATCAACCCGAGACATCAGACGGATTAATGCGCTTAAAGCCACGAAAGCCAGGTTCGTTGGCTAATGATTATGGTGGACTGGCATTCTGAAACGTATTTTAGTCAACGAGAGATCCATTCGGGCACTGAAACGACGCGCACTCGTCCGCTCAAAGACATTAATTCGAGACGAAGAAACGCTTGAGATTATTCCCCCGAGCAAATTTTCCGTCTGGATGACCAAGATCAAGAAGCCCTTTACACGATCATTCTGGGAGGAGGTGTTAGAGCCCACTGATAATGAATCTCTCGTGGATATAAAATTATTGAGCTACGCGTATCTCGAAGCCGGAATGATCGAGACACTTGCATGGTTCGTCCTATTACTTTTTGCTCGTGTGACACTTAACTTATATACCTATCAGTCTGGTCGCATATTTCGTCGTGTTCTTCAAGAAAGGTTTTACCCCTACCGATCTTCGTCACGCCCAAAAGAACGGATGTAAGTTGTTATGATCTACCTCTTAATATCTTACTCATATATTGATTATTTTCAAGCATATTTCACCAAAAGCAGTCCGGACTTTATCAACTCACGCGGGCAGACAATCAGCGCTTTCGATCAAGTCGACGCTTTGGCTCAGGCTCAATCGATTGTCTACCTCTCAATCTTCATTACTCAATGCTTCAATGTACGTACTCTCGGTGCTGTATGGAATTCAGCCGACTCAGCTATGATCAGGTCTTCGCGGTGAAGGCGCGGCTTTCGTATCCATTTGGCCGCCGGGTCATTGCAAACAAGTGGAATTTTGCTGGTATTCTTGCCGGAGCATGTCTTGGCATGTTCATCGTGTATACACCACCTCTACACGTCGTCTTCGGTGGAACCTTCCGCCTTTCGCCTTTATACTGGCTCATCCCCGTCGCATTTGGCATTGTACTTGTGGCATGGTCGACTTTACGCGTGGTAATTCTCAGAAAATCGGTCGAACACATGAAAGTGAAGGATATCAAGGGTCTCATGATGTGTAAGTTTTATGTCACTCACATAATTTGTTCGCCGATGTCTGATAAAAAATTACAGTCCCTACAATGAGAACAATGAGTATGCGCTCGCGCGGATCGCGCCATTAGAAATATTAAGGACTAATTGGGGGCCAACTTGGGGCTAAATTCTAAGCAGAAATAGGAACACTGTACACGATTAATTATATACGAGATGCTTGTATATGTAACGAACAGAATTATGACATTGAGATGACCAACGACCAAGATATACTTAGTATATCTAAAATCAAGACATTTTCAAAGTGTTCTTAAACATCGGGTGAGCGGGACCGGACTCCGCTCGGACTCCGCGTTGAGTTTCTTCTCAATTTGCCCTTGACTTTGCCTTGACTTTGAATTCTCCCGACATCCAACTTCGATTCAAACACATTCTTCTCCCAACGCGTCTACAAGTGATGTCGTCGCCTTCAGCCACAACTGACGACGTTCGTGATATCGTCGCTCTTCGAATCAACAAAATCCCTCAGCAAGCAATGCTCATGATCCCTACTGCATAGTCCGCCATTTCCGAGCTGTTTGGCGACCCCGTTATCATGGTTCAAGGCAAGATCCAAGCATACGCTTCACTCCCTCTCGTCGTGCCGAATGGTGCCAATATCAATCTTGCTGCCGACAATTGGCATTGGGTCCACTGTCCAGATTGAAGATTACAATGGCTTTTAATGGCCTCCATAGCCTCCAGAAAGCTCATAGTGAACAGAGGTCGGGTCCAGCAAGCGGAGGAGAGCTCGCGTCCTGCGGTCAAGTTTTGCATGGCGGATGCCAGACTTCCTGAAGATGGCACCGTCGATGGACTACTAGTAGCAGCTCGCCGGACTTTGGATGGCGCACTTTCCAAAATTCCAATATTCAGATGCCCTCAAGAGTGAAGACTCAAGGCTCAATGTCCAAAATTTTAAATGTACTTATCCAACATGTAACATTGCGGACCAGAAGAAAAAGAATGGACACTGTGGGGCTTGAACCCACGACCTCATGCAATTTATGCGAGTATGCAAAGCATGCGCGCTACCACTGTGCTAAGCGCCCGATATATTGCTATTCTGAACCCACAGAAAGAATTGATACGAATCGCGGCGATTGTCGGAACATGCCGACGGCTTTTGTAGGCCGGTGGCAGCCGGCGGTCTGCGTCACTGTACTACTTATGCCGATCATGTATCACCTACTTCTACAACCCGCAGTCGACAGCAATCACCTTGCTACCAGGATCGGTTTTACTCCACGAAGATCCACCGGCGGAGACGTCTACTACCTTTGATTTCCTGGATACGTCTAAATGGCTCTTCAGCAGCTTCTGTTCTCTTTTTTGGCGACGGCCAGCGTCTATGGGCTCTACAAGCTGGTCAGATTCTTCTATGAGCAATGGACATCTCCTCTGCATGCACTCTCGGGACCGCCGAATCCAAGCTATATCTTTGGGAATATGAAGCTGATTTGGGAAGCGGTCAGTCTGTTTGCTTCATCATCCCTAAATTGCGCTCACTAGATACTATACCGTCACCACGAACTATGTCACACAGGAAAATTCAGTGCTTCAGGAGAAGTGGGTAGAGCAGTATGGACCTACCATAACCTATAACGTATTCTTCGGAGTGAGCTTACACTTACAGTTTGGCTTACAGCTGCTGAACTTGAAGTCAATTCATTTAGATGAAGCGCCTGTTCACTCTAGACCCTAAAGCTGTGAACCATGTCTTGATGAACAACTACATCTATCAGAAACCTACGGCAGCCCGATATCATTTGAGTCAAATCCTAGGAAATGGCGTTCTTGTCGTGGAAGAGGATAAACACAAGCAACAGGTACGTATCTCTATGATTCGTTTCATCTCCAGCTCACAGCGCGTTCGTCCTTCAAGCGGAAGATTATGGCAAGTCGATATCAACATACAAAGCGAAGGCGATATACTAAGATTCAATTATTTGTGTTTCCAGAATCCTGCCTTTGGAGCAGCTCAAATTCGTGAGCTAACGGAGATATTCGTAGAGAAATCAATTCAGGTACATCCTTCGGAAAACTGGCGAACTTGCTGTTATAATAACTATACAATTCAGCTTCGCGATGCTTGGGCAGCCGAGTGCAACAAAGAAGGAAGTGAAGGCCGCATTGAGGTGCTTTCCTGGCTCAGCAAAATGACTCTGGATGTAATTGGTTTAGCTGGTGCGCGCGGTAGTTTCCTCCTTTGCATCTCGCTCTTATCACATACAAAGGATTCAATTACAACTTCAATACCCTCAGCGGCGGCACGAGCGAGCTCAACGAAGCATTCTCAACCGTCTTCCGCTCTGGCATGAAGATGTCCATGATCCCAATAATACGCGGCGCGATCCCCGCTCTGCGTTTTCTTGTTAGTCTCTCCCATGAACAAAATATGAGACCTTTGGGTGCTCACATGGTTATAGCCTGCGGAGCGCGACATTCAGACCAAACGTGCCCGGGAAAGCATGAAGCGCGTTGGGGATCAACTCCTGACGGACAGCAAGTCCGCAGTGAATGACCACAAGTCTTCTTGGACCCGCCGTGATCTCCTCTCGCTTCTCCTGCGTGCGAACATGTCGACCGAACTGCCGCCCAGTCAACGGATGTCAGACGAGGATGTATTGGCGCGTAGGTAGTCGTATACACATGCAGCAGACAGTAGACTGACCCATTCACAACAGAGGTCCCCACCTTTTTGGTTGCAGGGCACGAAACAACGAGGTTAGTAGTTTCTTCAGCCGTGGAGATCCACACCTAATCCTAACACATCAACAGCACGGCAACGACGTGGGCGCTCTTCGCACTCACGCAGAATGTCAGCGCGCAGGCGAAGCTGCGCGACGAGCTCCTCGCCGTCGGCACTGATAACCCGACGATGGACGAGCTCAACGCGTTGCCGTACCTCGACGCTGTTGTGCGCGAGACGCTCCGCATCCACGCTCCCGTCCCGGCAACGACCCGCGTCGCAGTGCAGGACGACATCCTGCCACTGAGTAGCCCCGTTCAAGACAAGAGCGGGAAGATGCTGGACAGCATTAGGTGCGTCGCACCTGCCGAGTAGGGCGCGTTTCGGGGCGCTGACTGCTACTTGCATTTGATTAGGATCGTCAAGGGACAAACTTTGCTCATTCCTATCTTGGCCATGAACCGCTCAAAGGCGATTTGGGGCGAGGATTCGCACGAGTTCAGGTGCGCGCTTTTTTTCCAGCAGCGTCGCATCACTGACGCGTATTGGACTGCAGGCCAGAGCGGTGGGAGAAGACACCCGAGGCCGCCGCGGCCCTCCCGGGTGTGTGGGGCAATATGATGACGTTCTTGGGCGGACCCCGCTCGTGCATCGGGTACCGGTTCTCGCTCGTCGAGTCAGTCCCGCCTTTTTCTGCTTCGCCGTAGCAACCTTACATAATTTTTGCGTTGCAGGATGAAGGCGTTATTGTTTACGCTTGTCCGCGCGTTCGAGTTTGAGCTGGCGGTGCCGGCGCAGGATATCATCAAGAAGTCGTTCATCGTACAGCGGCCTTTACTCAGGTCCAATCCGAAGGCGGGTAACCAGATGCCTCTGCGGGTGAAGCCTGTCATCCGAGCATGAGGGTTCATTGGCGTTTGATATGATCTATGTCGTGGAATGTGAGTTTTAGTTACTTATTGTTGTATTGTTGTAAATATATACGGGATCCCGCATTCTCCTTCAAGTTGCACGCTGGACCGCGACTGCGCCGGGAGTTGCCACCGTGGCCAAAAGATCTTGCGAAGCGAATATTACGATAAGTACGTTGTTACTTACAGAGAGGGGAGTTGAGGAAACAACCGAACGCTGGTATCGGGAGATGGGGGATATATGGAGTGAGATTAACGTGCATGCAATTGAAGTCGCCCGAGAAAATGTAAGTAACCTAGTTCCAGGGAATATGGAAGTGTCAGAGCAGCAGGATTGGAATGGGGATGCGTCAGTCAGCTTGGAAAGCAGAAAGAATACAAGGCAGTAGAAAGCAGAGACACGGGGAGCCGGTTGAGGTCACACAAACTGTTAGAAAGGAAAAATGGTTGGAAAATGTCATCGTCGTGGACCGGGATCAACACCACCCTCGTCAGAGTCGCTGGTGTTGTCATATGCAGAGTGCGAGCTTGAGCTCGGCGGGTGCACCGAAATCCGCGTGTTCACCGAGTTTGCCCTCGAGCGGGCGCCTGCGTTGCGCGACGCGCTCCGTGCGCGCTGCGCATCCGCGTTACGCAGGCGCGCCTCTTGCTCCTGGACCTGCGGCAAGGACAGGGACCTATCCCCACAGCGCAGCACGAACACACACGGTAGCTCCGCTCCACACGTGCGCTTCACCACATTGGGGTTGGCTTCGATGCCGCCGAACATCGAACAGCTGCGCAGGAAGTCAAGCCGTCGCATGCCCTGCCCGAGGCTGCCGCCCGGCACGCCTGGATTCGCGGAGCGATTGCGCTTGTACGCGTTCCCGAGCTCAGCCTTGTCGCGCGGGGAGAGGCACTCGAAATCCTGCTTCGTCGATAGGCGGCTCATGTCGCTCCAGATGGCCTGGATGACCTCGCCGCACGTTACGCCCCGGTCGAGGTCCTTGGCCTTCACCACGATCATCCACGGCGTCATCGTTGAGATGATGCGCAGTGAGGTAAGGCGGGGGAAGGTCGCGGGCTGATTACGCCCGTTGGACCACGACAGAGTCGGTGGCTCGTCGGAGCGCACCGCGGTAGATGTCTCGAAGAGCATATCCCACTTCAAGTACGGCCGCTCCGGGCCGTCGTCCGTCAGCGGGGATATCAACGGGTTCACCTTGACGGACGCATCCACGATCTTCACCAATATTGGTTCGAGTACGGGACCGTCTTCGAAGAAAAATATAGGGCATGAGAGCGATTAAATACAGGAAATACGCGCAAACCTACAGTGATCGCCAGCCGCGAACGGGTCCATTCTGTCGAGCACCTGCGCCGGCGGTTCAGGCCGTGCGAACGGGGCTCCAGGGTGGGGAGCAGCCCCAGGATGGGGGCCAGCAGCTACCGGGGGGGGATACCACATTGGGTCAGGCTGCTGGTAGAATTGAGGGCCTGGCCCCACGCCCCACCCCGGAAGCGGTGCACCGTACCCGGGCGTATAGGGCGTATACATCGGCGCTGCCGGCGGCGGGATCCGGCCGCCCTGAGGCAAAAAAGGCGACTGCATCGGCGCGGGCGTCGCCCACGCCGGGACCTGGCCTGCCTGCATGAACGTATGGTACGACCCCGGCGCGGAGTTGTAGCCCGGATGGGGCGTGTACGCGTGCATCGGCGGAGCTACGGGCGGGTTAGCGGGCGGGGGCGGGGGGTAACCTCCGGGATACCCAGTGTAATCGGACGATACGCCCTGATGCGAGTTTTGTCGGGAATGCTGCGGGGGCACTCCGTTTGGGAGTCCAGAGGGGCTCGGTGGGATAAACGGGGAATGGGCAGAGTATGGCGAGTGGGTCGGATAAACGGGGTAGCTTCCCGGTGGGCCGGCGGGCGTGTATGGGGGGATTACAGGCGATGGTTGGGGCTGAGGAGACGGATGGGGACTCAGTAAAGGAGGGATGAAGGGGGTAGTTGGTGTGCGCGACATCGTAGCTAATTATATAGGGATAGGTGAGGGCTCGGTGCGGGGTCGTGAATACCTGTGTGCGTCGAATTGAGTCACCGAGCACGAACATGCGGGATCAATTAACCACAAACAAGAATAGGAAGGACGAGAATTGTCAGCCGAGGCGGTGAAAATCATGGATCCAGTAATGACTCACAGATGAGCACACCTGGATTGCGCGTGTGCAAGTATAGCTAACCGGGTCTAAGATTTCCTAAAGCTATATAATTGATGTTTGCTCTGGAGGATTCACCATCAAATTAAAGCGTTGGATGGCCACAACTTTAAATGCCTACCGTTGTCTCTGGTCGTTACAAGGTTGAGATCTTCTTTGCGCTAACTATTTTCGGATGTGAAGACTTCGTGATGGCTGGAAACTGGAGCGGGTACGACAACAAAACAGATTGGGAGGTAAGAAAGCAGACG